AAATCAAATCAAATCAAATCAAATCAAATCAAACTAAAACAGCTCCCTGTTGTAAAAACAACTCTTTTCAGTGGTATCCTTGGATCCTATTAACAGAGAACATTCATCAGCATCAAAGCCTAGATCACAAACATCCAGGGAAAGGCCTTAAAATTCCTCAAACATAATAGATGCTGGAGCTTTGACATAGAAAAAATCTAATCAGTATTTTTGAACGTTTAAAATTTTATTACATTTCCCACTGATCCAGGGGCATTTGCCAAGTACTGTGCACTAGTGTCTACAAATCACCCTGTTCTTCTCCAAATTGTGAAAAAAAAAAACTGTCATGCATGAGGATCTTGCAAGACTGTTGTATAAAAAGTTTATATATTACTTTACATGTAAAGTATGGAACTGGCTTACATGCTTGCTATGCCTTTGAATATTGTATAGTTCATTTCAAATGCAGTTTAGTGCACTGACCTTCAAGTATATATAAAGAGATTCAATTTAAACTGAAACGATAAAGGTTCTGTTCATGGTCTTTGGTGGAATCATTCCTATTCCATATTGTTCTCTAAGCCCCTCTTAATAACAGTGTAGGAGTGGTTGGGAACACAAGATTAATAAGGCCAACTCAATAAATTTAACTCAGCGAGGATGTAAAATAAATATGAAGCTTTTCTAAGGCATATATTATTTCATAACTCCACAAGAGGAGCAAAGGCTCAGAATGAGAGTTTGGCTTAATTATTTTCTTTGTCATCTCTCTCTACTTGTATTAAAGATATCTGCACTCCAGTACTAACTGAAACTATCTTTTTTTTTTTTTTTGCTAGGAATAATTCAAAGATGTACACCAGTCAAGTATCACTACTCTTCGTCTGTCCTACCACGAAATTTACCCATCAACATCACAAAGACCATACGACAGGATGAGTGGCATGCACTCCGTAAGTCTGAAAGTGTCTGTCTTTATGGAGTTGGTTCAAATTGTTGGTTCTGTTCTTTGCATATTTAATATTTATTCACATGTATTTTTTCTGCTTTTTGGTTTTACTGTATTCAATTAGCAAACTATTTGAGCAAAAAAGAGAAAAAAAATCCAGTAAAGGTAGTAATCCATGATCACAGTCAGTGCTCATGTTCCTTATTCACTTCTTTCTCTCTCTTCTTGTTCAATTATAATTTAAATATATCCTCAAGTCAGTCTCTCCTTTCAATTTGGCTGTGTGTTGCCTCAGTTTCCTAACTATATGTATGTGAAATCTGGCGTACCTCCAGGCACGATTTTTGGTCCTGTTATTTTTTAATGGTAAATGATTCTCTTAGGTTACACACTGTATTTTGGAAATTTTAAGAATAAATCCGTCTTGTTTTTGCCATTTCAAATATGTTACAATATGTTTTTCAATTGATGCCATTATCTCCTTGTGCTTTCATTCCTTTTCAACCCATAGAAGTCAGTCTCAGCCAGGTTATTAACTTAAACTGCACAACTGCCCCTCATACTGGAATATATCACTGACCTTAAGCCTCTCTCTCTCACATCTAGACTCATGACCAGTGTTTATTAGGTAAATATTATTGGTAAGGGGAGCACTGGCTTATCTGAAGACAAAAAGTCAGACAGATCAATGTCTACTTATGAATCTCTGCTTAAACCTTTAGATAGGCCTGTATTTCTTACACAATATTGTTTTTGTAAAAGACAGTGGGAGAGAACTGTTTGACCTTGGATTCTATCAGTAGTGTTTTTCAGTATGATGTACATTTGTGTTATTGCTTTTGAGTGTGTTGTTTATTGTTGAACATAGATGTGTCAGCAATTTACTTCAGTTTTAAATGCAGTGCTGTGAACCTGCTGTAATATGGTCTGCTTTACATATTTAAACATTTCTAAGCTATTAGTCTTATTCTTAACAGTATTTGAGCATAATTTATCAATGGATGGATAGATACATATAGGTAGAGAGAAAGAGAGAGACAGAATAGGTACAATGTGCACAAATATCTCTTTACTGCTATCATTATTACCCATGAAAGGTTTATCCTTTATTGTAGCTTATTGATGATAAAAGATGATTGCATAGTTCCATACTTTACAAACATTTCCAAGAAGTTTGGCAAGAACTGTTTAATTTGGAAGCGCACAGCAGTTTCCAGAAATGTGAAAGACGCAGCTCAACATAAATAAAGGATAAAGTTTTCAACGGTAAATGAATAATAAATTTAAAACATATAGCTTTTCTGTTTCATTTCGTTCTGAGCTTTTATTTGCTTTCAGTTCATTCTTAGGCCTTAGTTTAAGTAAACAAAATAGGCATAATACTAGTGCTAAAGCTCAAAGCTGATGTTGGGTTGTTGTATCACTCCTTTTTTATTGGCAGTATAATTAAAGTAATCATCTAATAATTTTCACGTCGCCTTGCTGACAGAGTGTGGCACTAGATGCTCAGCTATCTTCATTGTAGTTTGAGATTAACAGACTACAGGTTTACCACACTGCAAAATGATTTCCTACAGTATTGACAAATAAAATAAAGGCAATATTTTAATTTTCCCACCAGTTTGTTTGAGCATACTTTGACCATGGGGACATTCTGCATTTGTCCATAATACTAACCTTTCAGAGTAATCACCAGTTTAAATCAGAGTCTTCCCTTTCGTTGTTCAGGACCTGTAAGTTTCGATTGCCTCTGTGATGTTTGCGTCTCTGCTTCCAGATCTAAGAAGAATGACGGCTGGCTTTGTGGGAATGGCTGTGTCCATTATTCTTTTTGGCTGGATTGTTGGAGTGCTGGGATGCTGCCAGCAGCATGACCTCATGCAATATGTAGCTGGGCTACTCTTTCTCATGGGAGGTACTGTGAGAGAATACATGCCCACATCCACACAAGCATGCAGACAATTTTATTTAATTTCTGTATTTCTTTGGTGTCAGCTGAAAGCATCTATGGGTTAGCATAAGACAGTAGATCAATGTCCTGCAGTAACCTGATTCCTTTCCTGCAGTAAAATGCACAGCATGTGTAGGAATTTAATATTCAAACTGGAACCATTTTAAATCGCTGCATGTGTTCTCTGCTCACATAGGAACATGCTGCATCATCTCCTTGTGCACATGTGTGGCAGGAATCAACTTTGAGTTATCCCGCTACCCCCGCTACCTGTATGGCCTCCCAGAGGACATTAGCCATGGCTATGGCTGGTCCATGTTTTGTGCCTGGGGGGGCCTCGGTCTCACATTGCTGGCTGGCTTCCTGTGCACCTTGGCCCCCTCCCTGAGCACACCAACCCGTACAACAACCCACAAGCCGAGGCAAGAGAATGGAACCGTGTGACAGGACCGTGGCGTCGTGAGGCGACTTACCCGCGGAACGCACAAACCACACCCTTCCAACCTTGATGTTTAACTCTGAAACAGTTTTTGTCTGATCACCATCTCACACCGCCCTCGACATCACGATCCCCCGTCAATGTTCAGTGTGCCTGAATTGTGACAGAAGGAGCAAACTAACACACCTAATCTCAAAAATCCCAGAGGGACCTCCAGGAACAACGAGCGTTACACCTACAGTGACATATCACTGAGGCACGGCTCGCTTAACACAAATAAGACTTTGTTTGGTTCAGATTTTTGACCTGCTGACTTTACAGTGATCTAAAGTTGACTGTTTTCTCTAAAGAGAATTTGTCTTAAAATGGTGCTCTCTTATATACATAAAGCTACATACACACCCGCATAGCACACACACACACACACACTCACACACATGCACACAAATACACTAACTTTTCCACACATGCCCAATTATTCTGGAAGAATCATGAGAGAAATCCTTGAAAAGAAACAAAAACACAAACATTAGGCATCCTGTCAGCATTCCTCTTTCATTCGAGTGATGTGTGCTGTGTTATTGTTCGTAATGAAAAAAAAAAAAATCTGGCATTGACTGCCCATTGCTTATCTTTAGTGTAGCACACTTACTGATATCAGACAAGAACCCCAGGGGTAGATGTCTGCAGCCTCTGCAGAGCAGAAAATGGACCGTGTAATGTGGTCAGTATGATAAAATACATGGTAAACAAGTCAATTCACATTGAAACGCAAACTGTTTCATGCTTCTTAAAGATTCTATATGTACAAATGCATCTCTGTGTAAACCCAGATCATTGTTTGTGTAAAATAGATTTTGAATAAAAATATTTGTTTTCTTTGTTTAGAAGTAAAGATGGTTGACAGTATAGACGGGATGAAAAGTTAAAGGACGGACCTAGAGGCATGAGTCCATGTTGGATTCAGCAACATTAAAGTATTTTGTAGTACTTGATGAAAAAGGAGTGAAAAGTAAAAGAAAGTATTCGATCACAATGGCTGCTGAGCTGTGATGTAGTTCTGCTGTGCTGTTACTGATCTGACTGTTGTTTTCTGAGGAGAGAAAAACAAAAACCAAGTTGTGGAGGAAGTATTTCATTACTTCATTGTTTACCTTTAACTTTAACATCAGTGAGACTTTTTTAAAAGAAAGAAAAAAAAACAGGCAACCTCAGTGATCCCACTAAAAACAAAAGCACAAGATGCATTCCTAGTCCTCATCTACACTGATACTTTAGCATAGTAATATCACAGGGGGGTAGAGGGCCACAGTGTAATCATGTCCTGACTAAAATCTGGCTTAGTACCAACTGAAACAATGCAGAACATCATCTATAAAGTAGGTTTTTTTTTTGTTTTTTTTTACATAAGGATTAAGGCATTTTTCATAATGCATATTTGCAATTGGCACATAATGCAGTGTACACACTTATGTACCGTGACATCCAAGCAGATTTCAGTACACACTAATACTGTATATTGGTAGACAGAAACATCAGCCGCAGAATTCAGTAGATGTAATTTTATGAGTCAGTAGTTGAATTGAGACTGCCTTTAAATCTTGTGTTAGAAAAGCGCAAATAGTTGGAAATAATACAGCAATTGGAAATCACTGTCCCACAATGCAATGCACAGTGAAAACGAAGGAGGAGCTGTTCACTATATACATATACTTTCAAAATGTGGATGTTGGTGCATTAGCAAAAAATAAAATAATAAAGATCAAAATGAATGAATGAATCCATTCCATATTCACAGTTTGATTTGTCTAAGGAGGAAATCTTTTTTCAGTTTTTTTTTTCTCAAATACATATTTTCAGTGGTACACTGCATATGATGTACTATGTGATAAGAGCATAGAAATTATTCAGTTTGTGACTTCTGTGATTCCATCATTAGATTAAAAATACCTCCAAATTTGATGTTGAAAAAAGCACAAATAAGAATTGCATTGACATGTGTTAAAAGCTGTATTCCAAATACATGCCATGTATTCAGTTTGTGTTTTAATTCTACATTCACACATGAAAAACACAAAAATGACAATCACTATTATTCATACTAAAATGGCTTGATTTTATGTGTTGTGTTGATAAACATTATTGTCCAACAACAGAACAGGTAAAAATAAAGTAATGCATTCATGGAAAAATACATTTTTGAATTGAAAATGGAAGTGCCATAATGTGTGGTACACACACTGAGTTGTGTGCCATTAGTACAAATCATTAAAATGCCTGTTTTTGTACGTATGTTAAAGTTGTACACTTTATCATATGTTTTGAAAATGGAGTGTAGGACTTTAGTTTGTTTAATGGAAATGATTTTACAATAACCCACAGCAGCCACTTTTCTGTTATGCAGACATGATTGTGCCCCCCACCCCCCACCAATCACTAGAACTAACTTATTGTGAAATTTTCAGGCTAAAATCTTATGAGACAAGACTATTATAGCCATGTGTGATGCAGTTTTCATAAATGTTGATTGCTGGAGATGAGTCATAAAATATTCAGCTATGTCAATTAACTTTCTTAGAAAACAAGGTATTATAATGTGTGTTGACAACACTGTATGTGATGTTCAGTCCTTTCACCATCACCATTAACCTCCACACGAGGCTCCCACTTTACAGAGGTCGAAGAAATTAATTGAGGTGTGATTGAAACCTGTCTCTTCCATGTGTTGTTGAATCTGCACTTCGCTGGGCCAGTGAACCAGTGAACCAGTGAAGTCTGAGCAGGTGGAATGATACACTATATGTTTGCAAGGCCACATATGGGAGCAAAAGATAATTAGAGTATGTAATCAGCCCCCTGTTGTGTCTTTTACAAAGGGTTTGGATTCATGCCATGCTGTGTGTTTTAAGGTCACTTGGTCCAAGCTTTTATTGTGAAAATATTTATGCCAGAAACAAGAATATGAAAATATTTCTATGGCCTAGAAACACTGACAATTTAGTCAGAGTATTTTCTGATGTCCTACAACTCACAGAATGCAATGCTGTTTGGTGTTTTGGTTTTATAGAGTTTAAATTCACAGCCAAACTGATACACAATAATATAAGTACAGTATTACTGTAATCAGTAAACTGTAATGTATACTCATAATGTGTTGTGAGGACTGCAGTGCATTTGCATATAACTCTTATAAGTTTTTTGTGTATTACAGGTGGGAAAATTAGACTTTTTCAGCACTGATGTGCAGCCACTACACATGTGCAGTACTTTGTCAAAGAACACTAAAGGACATATCTAAGTCCCTGTATCTCAAAAAAATGGATACTGATTGGACTGAGTTTCACTACAGAAGAACAGCAGCACACTGTAGCAAGTTTACAAAACATTAGAGAACAAATGAGGTCAGCACAGTGTAACAGTGTATTGGAGAAGTACAGGAGTAGGGCATGCCTGAAGCTCACACCCCGTCCTCTTCCAGTCATATTTAAACCACCAAAAAACCAACCCACCCTCCTCTTTTGTCTGCATCTTTCTGTCCTCTCTCTCCCCTTTCATGCAGGGGGTCTACCAGTGCCTGAGAGTGGTGCAGATCCCCAAAGCCTTTCTCCCCATAACTGCAGCTCATAACTAAGTCTACATCAAGCACCATTCTTCGTTCATACACTGAGGGTGGGCCCTAGCTAGTGAATTGGAAATTGTTATGAAGTCCCTCTAAAGTGGCAACTTCCTGTGTTTCATGAGGAGCGTAGAAATGTACTCTGTGCAGTGAGAGATGCCCTATGAAAATGTCACCATTTAGAGTGGCACTTCAGTAGCACAGCTATTACTGTATTTTCTACAAGTCATTTATACTGGTTCAATCCACTGCAGATGTTATGTGGGGACTAAAAAGACAGTCTTGCATGATCTCATTACAGTTACTGTAGTTTCTTTCAATATATTAAAAACGTGTGTCCATTTTTAAATAATTTATTTACTGAAATAAAATATGTAATTACTAATGTGTGGTGATTTTCGGTGTTTGTGCTCTAATTCAGCAGTTTTTCTTTCCAAAGTTGCAGACTTGTGTGTGAATCTCCCCCACTTCTGAACCTGTGACTCCCCTTACCTGGCTGCAGGAGTGTGTTTTGCACTGTTGAATCTATGGTGATGGGGTAGTTTACGGAGGTAAAACTGAGAAAAGATTTTCAGCCAACTAAGAGATGAATCTCCTCAGGAGGTAAGATACAATCACAACTGCAGTGTTGACAGCACCACCATCCAGACAAGCATGGAGGCGAGGGCCAGCCTTTGTCGCTTAGGACATGGTGCCATCTAGAGGGAGGACTGGATGTTTTCTGCTTTTGCCATTTTAAGCCTGACATGACAAATGTGACAAATGCAAGATTGTTTTTTTCTTTTCTAGCTTTAAAACAAAATTCAAACATATGTTTGAAACAATTAAATTTATTTTAAACAGGTAAAATACAGAAAAACAATGCCACACCTGAAAGTCACTCTGCATGGACTGCTTCTCAGACTACTACATACACATACAGGTAGCAATATGTTTACTAACTACACTACAACATTACAATATATAATGTACAACTTAACTCTAATGATATTACTGCATATAGTACCCCATGCGTTCCTTAAACATTTTATTTAAAGATGATGACTATATGGTATGATATACTGTACAATATATAACAACTAAGGCTAAAATGAACAATTATTGTATAATTGTCAACTAGTTATTTTGGCAAATATTATATCATTTAGTCTGTAAAATGCCAGACATTTGTGAAAAGTTCCTGTTCTGATTTGTCACAGCCCACAGTGATGCAATCAGATTGCTTGATTTATTCAACCAACAGTCCAAAACCTATGATCATATGTGACATGAAACCATCGAGTAGTCACAATGAAGAAGCTAAAACCAGAAGATAATTGGCCTTTTTTAAGCGATTGAGGAAATTAATTGATTACTAAAATAGCTGCTAATTCATTTTCAGCTAATCAGCTCATACATACTAGTTCCACTGCCAAGTTGTTACAGTAGGTTGGATAATTATATATACAACTTTAAAAAAAAAAAGCTGGATTGCCTTTTAAATTGGAGGTAAAAGTGATTTGAACTATATGTTAAATCACAGACCTTGTACAGTTTGATCTGATTAAGTTGAGCCAGAAGCTAAAGTGAGCAGTTTGAGAGTCTACTTCTTGCCACGGTAATGGGCACCGACCACCATGTAGCTGTCAGGTGAGATGGTCAGCCTGGGTGGTGTCATGTTGTCCCTACAGACCCTGACCACAGACCTGGCAGCTAATCCTGCTCCTCCTCTACAGGGGTCGTGTTTCTGCAGGTAACTTACAAAGGACTCCCAGCCTCCGCCTACACGTACCATCACGTGACGCTCGTTCAGCATCTACAAAGGTGACAGGAGACAGTGCAGTCAGGATAAGCAATAAAGTTTCCATCCATTCTCTGTCTGTGTTATTGCCAGGATGTTTATGAATTCTCAATCATATGAAAAGCAATGGTGATGACAAGACCCCTTCCCTCCCTCCACACACACACACACACACACACACACATGCTTCTTGTGCATGTGTAGCTCTGGCTATGAAAGGCAAACAATCTCTCGCATAGATTTGCCAAAATCTCATTAAACCAAATGAAACACCTTGTGGTACCAGCTGAGCACACACACAGGACTAATCCACATATGAACATGCATACACACACATGCAGTGATGCAGAAAGGCACATCCACACAGACCTGCAACACAAACCACCTAATAAGCACTTTTTAAAATATGAAATGACTGCTATAGAGCCAGTCTATCTATTAACAGTAAATGCAGAGAGGTCAGTTGTATCTGAATCAACACATCCTTCACAGAAAGCCCTCTTTACAGTGAAAACCAACTGCTGCCATGGCAACCACTGCCACAATATGAGGCCTGGAAAAAAATGGAAGGAGAAATTGAGATGAGTTCAGCGCAGACCCTCAACTCCCAGTAGACATTCCCATTCCCAGGAGGCCTTTCAAAGCCATCCGTTGTCCTGTCAGCAATGGACCACCCCCTCTTGCCTTATCACTAATAAACCCTTCATTATGAAGCCATTAAGAACGTGATAATACAAGCAGATCTACTCATCTTATATGGGGAGGTGCGTGTCATGTGTGTAGGATAAGAAAAATCAAAGGTACGAGCGCAGACACAAGCAAGGGACACAGGCCAGACGTGCTCTGCCTCAGCTGTCATCCTGCAGATTAAAATGTTGAGGTTGACAGGGGTCAGGTCTGACAACCTGAACTACCCAAGGGAATATCCTTCTGACTGGCCATCGTTCTCAAAAATTCAGTCATCATCCAAGGGGTATTTTACAAAGAAAGGAAAATGATATATATAAATGTAAACTGCTCAGTTTCAATTAGATATGATTTTTGTCAGCATCTTCTCTCATGTGGTCTCTCTTGTGGTTTCTTAACTGTTTCATCAGCCAATAAAACTAGCTTTGAAACCTTTAATCTGATGTTGTCATGTAAGAGTTTATATTAACCCACTGTGTCACTTGGTTGTTCTCTGGCTTCAGATGAGTTGTTTTTGTATTGTGGATGCTTGAGTGTTTGACTGGAACAAAGTAAGAATATTAACTGGGATATACATTATATATGTTTTTTAAAATATTCATTTAGCTGAACTCTACTGTATATTCTATATAAGAACATTTTTAAAGCAGGGACATGTTATTGACCTGAATAGCTACAAAACTGATGATGCTGTAAAAAAAAAAAAAAAAAATCAGTCAGCACACACTAGCTCTCTTTGTAGGGCAGACTCCTTTATTTTTATCTCTACTGCTCTCCTCCCCCTTCAGGTCTCTGTACAAAGTGTGCTACGTCTACAGCCCATAAACTACAGTCTGGATTCCCCTGTGTCGTCCCTGGCAGCTCCATTGATTCCTTCTCTCCTTTCTGCTGAAAGGTGCACTCGGAGAAGAGGAGTCATTTGAAGAGCAGCCAGTAAGAGGCAGGCTTAAGCCACATCCACTGTGTCTGACTCTGCTTTTTAGTACAGTCGGCCCTTGTACGTTTTATGGTAATGATAGATATTTACACACTTATTAGACTTTGTACAAGCCTTTAAAATTTCTGAAAGATAGTGTTAAACTATTGGTTTTGTTCTGTTCTTTTAGTTTTTATGTAGGTTTGTTTTCTTACAGAAACAAGGGCTAAAGGATAGAAGGAGTTCTAGGATTATAAAGATCTGTGGGGCCAGTGTTTCATTTTGGTGATTGATTAGCACAATATTTTATAGAGCTGCTCAAGGGGTGTACTCAGTGGTGGCTTAGTGGCTTTCGTAGTCCCTTGACAGTTTTTTTTTAAATATGATTATGTGACCCACCTCCTCGCCATCACCTCCATAAGCTAGATGGTGTCCATCAACCACCTGCTGGCTCTACTCCACCACCACCATCTTCATGTGGGCCTGCACTTAATGAGGATACATAAAATTCCCGAAGTGTAATCACTAAAAAACACTTTCTTGCTTATCTCCATGAAGTTTATTTTTCACTGCCATTTGATTATTCATAGCCACGTGTTCCATATGCTGAATCCCAAAGGTTTTTAATAAGACATTTTAAAATGCTGCTTAATTTTGTACAGATTTTCATGTTCTCAACAGGATGAACTGTAACAACTTTGGTGAATATTTTAGTTTTTGACAAAATCCCTGCAAATCAAAAGACAATCTGATCAGGCCCGGGTGGACTTTATCTTAACACAGACTCTAGTCTGAACATGATAAACACTGATAGAGGTTTTTCCCAATGATCACATCAGCTTTTTCTTTAACTATTTTATAATGGTTGTTATTTAGGAATAATAACTTTTGCACTATAATATTAGTAATCATATTTTCTGTTTCCTTTTCCACTGTAAGGTCAAAGGTGAGGGCCTCCTACAGGACAAAGACCTGAGAGTTTCTGTGGAGTCAGTCGCTTGCTCAAGGACATTTGAGGAGGATAATGATGTGGTGTCTCCCACAAAGTAGGGATGAACACAAGAAAAACCATTTCACTATCTTCACTTAGTCTATTTTACTCAGCAGTCTTCAAAACTAGATCTTTTCATTTTACTTTTTAGATGCATCTTTTATTTAGATAGCAAGGTAAACAAAAAACTGAATGACATGATATGGTGAGGTGTTTGAATGTCTTTTCCCTCCATTGACACAGTCAGACAGTGCTCCTGGTACAAAGCTAAAAGAGAGCCTAATTGGGCACAGAGAAGAAAGAAAAGCCTTCCTCTCTTTTAACACCAAAGAATGGTGGAACACTCTAGGGCCAGCGTGATTGAATAGCCTCTATAGGGAATAGAGACGGGGGGGAGAGGTGGTGTAGAAAGTTTACATGCAAGGAGGGGCGGTCATGCTCAGCCGCTCATTAACAAGCTGTCTGATTAAACCCCTCACTAATGACTCTGGCTCGGTAATCAATAGTATCTGCTCTTTTAAAAGGTCTGTGCACACTGAACGGCACACTCTCACAAGGATTATCGTTGAGGTTTATGGTGTCTCCCTGCACACATGTAAGCAGCTGAGGGCTTCAAGGTAATGGATGGCATCAGGGTCGATGGGCTGCAGCGCTCTATTCACACAGCTGAGGCGTGTTTGTGAACAAGGAGAAAGGAGAAGGGAGCAGTGCCAGTCGTGTCTACACTCCAGTTATTACTGATGGACACAGTTTTGGTGAAATGTTGTTTTTACAAAGCTGTGTAGAGAAAGTGGGCACAAAAGGTCAACATTTGAGACACTGTAGAAAATGAAATGTTGAAATATAAAATAACTAAAAAGGTTTTCTTTTTCACTACATTTAATTTTCATAACATAAATGCATGTTCCTGGACATGACCATGGTATAATAACCTGCTTTGGTCAGTCGGTTTCTTTGATGTGATGTTGAAACACGTGCCCCCATGTTAGTGACTGGCCTGACGCGGAGAAGCAGCTGTTCTGTGTGGTGAATGCAGGCATAATTTTCTAAATGGGCAGTAAAAATATGCTAGTCAGTCAGTGAAAAGTAGATCTGTGGTAAGCAGATAAACAGACAGCAGACAGCATTGATTACCAGTTTAGAGAGTGCTGGGTCAATGTGGTTTTCAATAATGTTAACAAAAATAGTTTAAACTAGTGAGCGGTTAGCCACCAAAATGTAGTTTTATGGATGTAAAGATAACAGTTTATTTAGCCAATATACTATATACAGTGTGGACTGAGTCTGTTACAATTGGTCTTTGTATAGATCAAGTCAAATCTTCCTCGTATATTCAAAAGCCTCCCTACAGAGGTGGACGTGGACTCCCCCAGGAGCAGCCATTTGTTCTCCCAAAATCATTCTGAAAGAGACATGTTTGTTTTTTCTTTAGGTTTGAACTCTTTGCTGAAGGTTTGAGTATTGAATAAAATCATTGTCAGCACAGTCTTATCCCAACCACTGGTTGCCAAGCAACTCCGCCTCCCAGAAGGCCATTCCACCAGCCTTTGTACTGACACATACAGGTGGAGCACGACTCAGAGAGGCTGAAAAGAACTGATGTCTCTATCCCAAATGCTCACTGTGACACATTGCACTTGTTGCTGACTCATCTGTTGGTTATTAACCTGAGGGCCTTCGATCCTCACATCTCATTATGTGTTGTAACATCTATGATGCATTTTCACTGGCTGAGCCTTTGGATTTGGTTTATAATTTGTTTGTTTGTAATTTGTTTAGCATCTTATGTTTTGATGAAAATATAATGCTGCTTGGATTATGTTCAGTGGCGATATTTTATCAAGTGTGGAGAGAGGTCAGGGTGGATCATAGCTGTATAAAGTGCAGGGCTGTGACACATGATTCATATTCTGAGGCCTTTGTGTGGTTTGGTTTAGGAAACAAGGGGTTTTTCAGTTCACTAGTTTACTAAGGACTCTAAATTGCCCATAGGAGTGAGTGTAAGTATGTGTGATGTGTCTGATGATGTATGTGTCTGTCTCTAAGTGTCAGCCCTGTGATAGACTGGCGACCTGTCCAGGTATACCCTGTCTCTCACCCAAAGTCAACTGGGATATGAGACAGGGTTGATGTGAACTTACTCACCCGTATGTAAAGAACTTTATCCCCAACGCGATAGCAGCCTTTAGGTTGCTTCTCAACGAGGAACTTGGTGGGACAGCAGCAGGGGGGATTTTCAATAATCTTTCTCACCTGGAACAGATTAGACCAAGAGAAGACAAATAAAATACAGTACATGCCTTTAACATCTGTAAACTGAAGTGAAATGAACTTCATTGGAAATAAAATACACACAATATCATCCAAAATGTTGTCAGCGCCCGCACTCCTCCGGCTGGTGGATTTTCTGGATGATCGAGGAGTCCGAGCTCCAGGTGCGGAGGTGATGGGAGGTGCAGTTGTGGGAGTGCGGTTGTTTATTGTGGTAGAGGAGACAGTGGACAGCAGGGTTTGGCCTGGCGAGGGTGGTGAAGCAGATGTGTAAGTGGCGCAAGATGAAAAGAACAAAGGTGCTTGTTTTGAGGTTGTGGTTGTACAAGGGTTAGAGGCTGTGAGGGAGGACTGAGGAGGGGATGAACATGTAGGTGCTGGATCTGTTGTAGCTGACTGAAGATCAGAGGCGAGGGAGGCAGTGAGGGGTTCAGCCAGACAGGTTGTGCTTGGAGTGAGGGCCACAGGTGGAGGAGGAGAGGGGCCTCGGAGAAAGGATGACTGTGATGGCAAATACAGTGATGTGGGAGGAAAAAAGGAGAGGGGGGAGGGGGGTGATGGCGATAAGCCACCTGCCTCCTCCCTTTCTATCTCTGTCTCTCTCTCCAGTTTCACCAGTCCTGGAGGCTCCACTCCATATCTGAGTATAATATATGAAAATATGTCAGTATGATAAGGATAAATCAAAGCTACCGTATATTCACAGCAGCGAGTAATGATTGTCAACAGGGGATACTGTAACCTCCGAGAGTATGTCGAAAGGTAGTCGAGTAGCTCTAAGTTGAAACAAATTGTACAGTTTGATTTGAGTAAAATATATCCAAATATTGACTCAGCTTTAACTGAGTACCATGTTGTGATTAAAAAAAAAGTCATTAAGCATAAAAATGCAGCAGGAAAGAGTTTGAAACAGCTGAAAACACAGAAAATAAATTTTAAATTAAATTTCAATCCAATTTAAAATGAAATTGTTAATAGTTTAAATAGTTACCTAACATAGTTAACATAGGTAGCTAACAAAAAGATCATTTTTTTCAATAGATAAAGTAATGAATAAATAGATGGAGCAGCTAAAAGCAATGCATAAATAGTAAAATGGACAAAAGTAATGAATAACCATTTAAATAAAAAAAAGTTGGATAAAAGGTTGAAATATTCAGCTTGTGGTAGCATGACATGACCAAACCAAATCACTGACACTTCACATGAATGAAAGAATAAATGAATCAATAACTAAATATAGAAACTGGTATAAAATGGTGGTGATGGTATGAATGAGTTAATCTGTAAAGAGCTGTGGAAGATATAAAAAGCAAATATTAAAAGTTGAGAACTGCTGGAGTGGAAAACTGCTGCTTTGCTAATTTTTGGTCATTTAAATGTATGTAAATGCAAATTTTAGGTGTTCTGTTTTTGCCAGTAGACAAAGGACACTTGAAATGCTCAGTCTACAGAATACAGCACTACTCACTTTACTTTTCAGGAACAGTCACATGGATGGGACAGTTTTTTTTGCTAGTTACCTGGCTACAATCCGTCCCAGCTCCATCAGACACAGGCACACCTCTCGAGGTTGCCTCTGCAGGACTTTACACGACACATGCATAAGGTACAAACAAAGAGGGTGGGGGGGCAGAAAAAAAGTCACTCATCTGAAAAGAAAGATGTAAACTCCTGTTTGTGAGGACACATTTCAGGATACAGACGCAACATTCACCAATGGTGACGTCTTTTGAAGAGCAGTAAAATCGTCATAGGGCTGAGGTTGTGGTGAATAGGTGGGAGACAACGTTATGCCGCATTAACAGAGTTGGGTATGCCACCATCGCTCAACCTTCCTGCTAATTTTTCTCAGTGGTCACACATGGTATTCCCTAAACCTAACCGAGTACTTTTTGTTCATGTGTATTACTGACATATGACCATGATAGCAAAGGTTCAGCACATGATTACAGCAAAGTGAGCTGAGTGGGAGGTAGGGCCCTACCTCACATCTGTGGTCCTGATAATAGTCATTAAATGGTGTGATATTTGACGTGGGTGCTTAAAATGACCACTGGTTTAGGACACATAAAAGTGTGTTCAACTACAGTATATGGTGAGCAATCTTCCATGTATGGAACAAAACAACAACTAAATAAATAAATAATGAGCAGAGTGAATGTCACTGTTAACAATTAAAATTTTTGTTCACCTGTATTTGACTTCTATCATTGAACTATAGGCAGCTCAAGAAAAGGAGATTAAAAAGTATATCATCGATGCTTTCATGTCACTGAGGCAGGAAAGCTTATCAAAGTACATTAGTTTTACTTTCCCTGTCACCCATTTACTCAATTGAAGTAGGTCAGTCTGCCTGCAGTGGGAACTTATTGTTGGTGGGATTAACCTGCACATTGTGATTCTCACGTATCTTCCACCTTGCACGAACATGCCCAAGTAAGAAGTGCATAGAGAAAAGTACATTCACTGGCACAGGGCAATGTTACTATGTTAATGACAAGTTGTTTTCTCCTTAGCTACACAGAGAAAGTGTGACACTGGGAGTCTGAGCGCTTGGAAGCATGTAATCATCACGCACAGTCACATTCAGTGTGATTGTCATGATCATCTTGCAATTTAAATGTTCCATATTCTTTTTTGACTTACACTGGTTCACTTTAATGGGCAGTGTTTTGAGGTGTGCAACAAACTCAGCTATCAATTAAAAATTTTTTTTTTCACTTTAATAAAACCACCTTTAAATGATCAAAAATGATGCAGCCCATCTCATACTGTCTCAAAATAAAATCCTCCTGCTCTAAAGTAATAATTTATTTCAATTTAAATTGCAGAAAGGTTTACCTTATAGGTACAAATATATAGATACTGAGATATTAGAGTTTTAGAAGTAAAGACATTGTATATCACTGATAATACCATTTAATAAGAAAGTAAAACAACTGTACAGAAAACTAACCACCAGATGCATAACAAATAATCTTTTGACAAATAGGATGATACATGTCCACAGGTCGTTTGTGCCAGCAGTTACATATTATCTTTAGGCTAAGATGTAGTTTTTGTTCCCAAAACTAAACCATGACTGGAAAAATGCTGGTGCTTGTACAGGCTGGAGAATCAGGTAAATAAGACACATTATGCTAAGTCAATCACATTTATTCAGACCTAGCCAGAGGACTGGAAGTGGACAAAACAGAAGACACTGACAAGGTCTGTCACTAAACACAAGTACTGCAGAGTCTAAAAAGAAAAGGAAGACTGAAGAAAAAATAAAAGAAGAAGCGATGTTCTCACGCACCAAATAGAATAGCTGAAGAAAGACATGCCTAGAAACAGTTCTTAAGCTTGTTTTACCGTACTTTAATAAGGTTAAGTGTAAAGATTTTAGTTTAATCACTTACTACAAGTACTGCATGACATGATTCACTTGTGGAAAAACAATAGGTCAGTGCTCCCTAAATACACAATGTTACACACAATCTCCGGTCTTAACTCACCCAAATCCTCTGACTCAAAAAGGTAAGCCTGATCAACGCCAATCTTTCGACACCAGTAGAGGAAGTTGGCAGTGTTGTCTCGGGCGAAAAATGTTCCAGAAGTTGCATCAGCCCGCCAGTGGATCACTCTTCTTATAAAGCACTAGGTTGTTTTCAAGACACATACACACAAATGTAATAGGAATGAATGACTAATGAGTGATTTTATGCTGTTTCATGTGTTATTCAGTTGCCCAGATACAGTATAAGCAGCCTCAGTAGGCTCTGTTGTTTGTATGAATATGTGCATGGATTTGTGTTGCTGTATCACCTTGTCATTGATGGCATGGAGCATCTTCTCCTGGAGCAGCTGTGCCAGCTGACAAAGGAGCACACCATTATCCAACCTATCCATTAGACTGTCTGCTGTGAGGTCCACATCTGAGGTGGAAACATACACATGCACACTGAATTATATACAGTATGGTTATGTCTTGTTAACTTGGATGACTGTGACTGCCTGGTGTGATATTTGATGTTATAGGTGTAACCTGAATATGCTTAAATTGGTAATTTCTCCTTTACTAAATTCAATACAGCTCTGAATATTTTGTAAAAGAAAAGATTTTTTTCCAGTTTTTAATTTGGCAGACTTCTACGATCACAAACACTAAGGTTCTGAGTTCCAGGAGAAGTGTCTCACCCAGCATGGTGTTGAGCCAGAAGGCCAGGTCTTCCTTCATGGGCAGAAGGCTGGCATCATGACGGTAGGGCAGCCACTCATTGTACTCTTGAGGACTGGCGAGACTCGGTCCAGAGTGTCTGTTCTTTTGCCCCGGTAGATAGTTACTCCCTAACCCAGTCAGGTACTTCGGGCTCAGAGGGCTGTCATGGCTACTGTTCACTGTTCCCGCTTCACTGTCCATTTTCCAGCTCCACTAGGGCTTTCACAGGCTCTGCTGGATGAGATAATGAAAAGAGGACTGTGGATTTTGACCCCCATCATTTACATAGGAGACACCTTAAGAAGGGATCTTTTTATGGCCAGTAAGGACAAGAGAAATGATTACAGCAATAAATAATGCTGCTCTGACTGCCAGTAATAGTTGCTGCTAGTCAACTGGAATTAAGACAGCAGGACACGTAGTGGGTCACTGGGTCTGCTGAGTAATATGCAGTAGAGACAACTCTATTGTACCAGTTAACTAACTGTAAAGTTCCATTGTTAAATAACAAGACTAAATGTGGATTAAGACCAGAAACAACCCTGCATTAAAACAATACAAGGGGTTGCAATAGTAAGAGTGTATTTGTGGATGTTAGGGCTTCTCATGCAACAAAACACTGCACAGGCAGGATTTTACAACTCTGGAAGGTTATCGAGGTGGAAACTATTTCATCGTTCCTTTATAAGGTAAACAATAAAAACACAGTGTTCATTTTCCAAAGTAAATGACTAGGAATGTACATGTACGCTTGCATATATTTTATTGGCCACTGCGGTGCCTTGCTAGATGAAGTCACATTGCACAATAGTTAAGCCATGGTCAGTGTTGTGCCTGATGACTCTGTGTTGTTTTGTGAGTTAGATGTGAGGATGTTGTAGACATGTGGCCTTGACTGGACATAGTGAAAAGACTCCTTTGTCACCACATCATGCAGCTGTAGGATGGAGATGAAGAATACCGTATGTGGAGGGGGCTTCCTGCCAAGTCTGAGGCTGGTTTACAGGTTGACCAGCAAAGCATAAGAGCCTCTGTATCCCAAAAAAAACATCCAGGTGCAAAATTCACATCTTTGCTACAGGATGTCTCTGCTGGGAAGGCAAGGCAAAGGTCGCCTGCTGGTGCCACTCTCAGACACTATCAGCCTTTATATTCCTGCAGCCCCGAGTGTCAGTGCCTTTTAGCACACATACTGGTGCACAAGCACGTACACAAGCCCATGCATGTCAGTGTTTTTATTCCTCTTCTCCTACTTTGCCCAGCTTTTAATGCTCCCAAAGTAAGACTGGCTTCAGTGGTATTTCATAGCATTTAAATGCATTTTCACAATCAGGTCAAACACCTTCACAGTCTAACTGGTTGTAAAAGAGAAATGATACAAATTACATACCAGCCTACCTGAAAATGTGCAAAATGATGGATCTGAAGCTATGGCATTAATACCTGAATGTATGTGAGATGACAGAGTGACTGACGAATGGCTTCATGTAGAACGTCTTCACACCGATGTCTTGAGAGAATCAAACCAAAGTCCATTCCCAAAGCTTATGGTAAACAGTTACCTTCACAAGTAGTTAACAAAGTTCTGTTTCCCTACCAGATGGGCAGAGCTCCCAGGTTTACTTTGGGAAAAAGCTGGTGTAGCAAATCTGTCAGTGAAAGAATCATATCTTCATTTAGCAATGAAGAATGTCTATTTCTATAGAAACATTCTGGTAAAGCTTGAGTTTGTTGCTACCTGCAGGACTGCGCATTCTGATTTTGTGTCAAAGTCAGTTCAACAAACACTCGCTGTGTTGATTGTTTGAAATTAAATAAAAAAATAACAACAATGAACGTATGAAGATTAATAATGGCTGCAGGCAGCTTTAAATCAATGATGTGCTGTCTCAGGTGTCAGTTGCAGGATTGTAACACCTTAAAGAAAGTGATGTAAAACTACTGAATGTACTGTATAACAAGTATTGAATGGATGTAATGCATCGCTGAGGTACAGTGGTGGAAGAAGTAAGAAAAATGAGAGAGAGCATCAGCAGCTTGGTTGAAGTGCCCTGGAAAGTATTTGTCTTTAATTAGGAACTGGTATATTATGGATAGCCAAGTGAGGCGACGAATGAATGAATGAAATAACTAGAGAGTCACTCTGGGATTTATTAATGATGGTGACCTCTGTGTGCTTGTCTGAGTGTATAAGGGTTGACTTCCTTGTCCACTTGTGGCCAATGGAATCGTGGTGATGACAATGGGATAGATTTCATAAACAACAAAGGTATGTTGAGAGCTCAGTTGGCCATATGATCTCCCAAAACCAGCTGATAGGGCAGCCTCAATGTAGAGCTGAATGTCCCAGGGGTGTGCACTCAGATCCTTATAGAAGAAGGAGATGCCATTCCAGTGAGCCAGGAGGTGTCACCAGAATGACAGCTCTATACACAAAGAATCAGATAGGCATACTGGACTGAGTACAGAAGGGACTGCAGATGCAAGAGCAAGGAGATGTGAAATGAGGGAACGGCCCTGTTGAATGATCCTGAGTGTGAAGTTGAGGTGACTGAGCAGGGAGAGGAGCTGGTGCTTGGTGCAAGAAGGAGCCAACAGGAATTTGGAAATCACCAGGTTGATCCACTCCAGCTTCTCCGAAGGCAGGGAGGCCTGCGGGGCCGGCTGTCTTGTCGGGGGACCGACACCAAAAAGGTGAGACCTTCTGCTCGACGCAGTGGGGGGCTGGTGGACAGACGATGAGGGAGTTATTGAGGAGATGAGTAAGATAGGAGACTGGATGGTTGTTGAGCAGTATCCAGCAGAGTGCCTTGGCCAAGGTGTCAAATGGGTGAAGGGCAGGACCTTGAAAGCATTGGGTGGCAGGATTGATGGGTCGCTGAGGAGATCAGTGGTGTTGTTGTTCAAGGAAGAGAAGAAAAAGGAGGAGGCGTCATAAAGAAGAAACCTTCAGAGGGAGGAGGAAGCTGGGACCGCCACAGCAGACCACATCCTGTTATATATATAACTTTATGTTGATCAGGTTTTGTGTAGTTTTAAATCACTTTAAATTCTGCTACTGCTGTGATTTCCTTGTCATAAGCAGGCAGATTATTTTACATTTTAACAAAAAAAAACTTATGTTTCCTGACCTACTTTCAAACACTAACATATTGTAAATAAATAACTTTTGTAAAAATAGTAAAATACCCAATAGTAGCTGTTATTGAGGGAAGGTTTTGGAACTAAGTACCTTTACTCAAGTGTTGTACTTAAATACAGTTTAAGGTACGTGCACTTTTTCTTAGCATTTCTGTTTATGATACGTTTTACTTCGGCTCCACTACACGTGAATGGAAAGTACTTTTTACTCCACATTATTGTTTCATAGCCATAGTTATACATTACTTTACAGATCAAGCTTTATATGTAAAAGTGTGGTCAGTTTATATAATAACCTAAACAGAATATAAGCTGTTAAGCTTGCTCTCTCTTCATGCATGAATGACACACAGTGTATCCAATGATATGTTAATATTATATGATATATGATAAATACAACATTTTCAGTGAGGGTATTTACATAATAACTTTATCATACAAAATATACTTACCAAACACCAGTGGTAACAGAAGGATTCCTTAAAAGATTTCCTTTTTCATAAAAACATCTTCTCTCCTCCTCTCACAGGACATGCACACACCACTCAGAGCCAGATGTTCTTCACCCTCAGGTTCACTACATGAATGTAAACTCTGTGTGAGGGGCTGTCCCGTTTATAACAAACTCTCCTGTACATGCCTGCAAGTTTGTGGTGTCAACTTACAACTTCTGGAGACCAGATAGATGGAAAAGGTTTTAGTAGCAATGTAATAATGAAAGTCCAAACATCACATTAAAGCATGGAATTTACATGCTTTGTTCATTTTGCTGGTAACACTTTGAAAGCGGTGGAAGAGTTCTTTAGGTCCTTTACTTCAGAAAAGCTAGTATTACTACAATGTAAACAATAAAAAAAAGTATTTATGCAAGTATTATAGGAAATGTACTTAAATTATCAACAGTAAAAGGAATAAATTATACTCCAATTATTTTTAGAAATAGGATAAATACTCTGAAACAAAATTAAATTTTGGGTAATATTGTTTATATTAATTAATTATTAATGTTTTAAAGGTGACTGCTATGATACATATTACAATGCACATGCCTTTTTCAAAGACTGTATTGTAAAAATGGACAACATGACAGCTTCCTGAAGTGGAGCCACCACAGTCAGCCAGTGATTGCAGTATAGGTCATAAACTCTGCCCCATTCATGTTAGCAAAAAGGACATAAGCCAAACTAAAAATACAAAGTACACATCTATTTTTTCAAAGAGGTGATTTCAGCCATTTAGGTGTATGTTATCACAATCTATGTGTAAAGGATCATTTTTTAACTAAGTTTGTTTTTTAATAACTTAACTGTGTTAACAGATCCTTTATGACATAAAAGGCAGGTAATTTAAGATACTTGAGAGCTTCGACTGGTGGCTTGATACCATTACTTCACTTGTTTTTGATACTGCATAGAAGCTGACTGCAAAATGCAAAGTGGCAAGAAATCATCCATCTTATATACTGTCTATGGTGCTGCTACACTCTCTTGACAGTACCACTGGATGGCAAACAAGTAGGAAATTTTACATCCTGTACATAGTGACTTTAACGTTAGTCTATAATAATTATTCTTTATAATGTAATTCATTTCAGATGTTTGTTCTTCTTGTGAAATTGAATTGAATTAAAAAGGCTACGTCTGTGCTGACATCTAAAATCTCTTCTACTATTACTTGATTTATTTGATCATTAATGTTTTGATTACTGCTGCCAGGATAGCGTAGTGTTAATTACACTTCCTCAAAATAATGTGGGTTTTTTTGTTGTTGTTTTATAATAGCCGCAGAAAGCAGCTTCAGGGCTTCAATCAATCAGGTAGGTGGTGGAGGCAACCACAAGCTAACCCCAATATTTCTATGTCCTCTGTGTGTGTGTGTGTGTGTGTGTGTGGTATAGTCCCAGGTGTGGCTGCTGGTTCATTTGTAGCCCTCTCCCAGGGGAGGAGTCCCTCATGTCACTACCTATATCAGACCCTCCCCTCTTCCTCCATAAGTAAACCTCCGTCTGGCTCATTTGTTCTGGTTAGCATTCATCTGATGCCACTGTGAATATTAACCAG